ACTTGTACATTTGTATCACAGAAACTCGCAAAATTCTTGATGATATCTGTGTGGCAAAAGCTGTTGAATGCCCTCCACCTCGAACCACAGCCAGGCTCCTTGATAAGGTGAGAGGCCGTGACCTTCTCGATGTCCTCATCTAGTGCTAGCCAGGCCCTCCCCGCTGGGAAATTGAACCCCACTGGGGAGAATACATTTCTACAGCTTCACAGGAAAACCCTAAAGAGAATTAACAAACTTTGATCTCTGTGCCAAATAGTTCATGTTATCTCACTTTATATTTTCCAGCCTTTGAAAAGCTATAGGATAAACCCATCTCAGTGGGAGCTGTCTCTATACCGAGATGATCAAAATATTATTCAGAAGTGATTTGTAACTCTGCTTTGCTTTATTATTAAGCTTGTTGGGGAGTTCCTGGAAGTGACTTGCATCAATCCTACATTCATCTGTGATCACCCACAGATAATGAGCCCTCTGGCTAAGTGGTAAGATGAAGCACGCTGTTTCAGTTACCTATTGCTGCATAATGACCCCAAAACTTGGTGATGTTAAATGACAATTTATTTTTTAAGATTTTTTGTGGGTTGAGTGAGTGGTCTTTGTCCTAGGTGGTGTTGGCTAGAATAACTTAAGTGGCTTATTTCAACTGGGGATTCTGCCAGGGCACTTTGCTTCTTCTCCCCATGAAATCTTGTCCTCCAGAGCCTCTTCCTGTGGCCTCTCTGGCAGCATAGCCTGAGCTTCCTTTCAACATGGCAATTGGATTCTAAGGGGAAATATTCTGAAAAAATAAGCCTCAAGGTGCAGACAGGTATCAAGACTCTGCTGATATTCCATCGGCCAGACCAAGTCACATTGCCAGCCCAGAGTCCATGTGGGAGGGACTACGGAAGGGCTTAGATGCAGGAGGTGCGCTTCAGTGTAACAGTCTGCCACACTGGCTTGTTAGGAAGATAATTAAATCTTCCTGGTCTCACCCTCCTCACTATTGTACCAAATGATTTGGTGCTGAGAATGCATGCAGGCCTCAGGTTGCAACCAGTAACAGTTTTGAGTCCCCTAGAATTTAAGAATTCTTGTGTCAGATGTTTGATTATTAAGGGCCTGTATATTCAGTGTCCTCTTTGGTCTCCTGTTTCCAGGCACCGCTCTAAAAAAGGTCTGACTGAGCGCTTTGAGCTATTTGTCATGAAGAAAGAAATATGCAATGCCTACACTGAGCTGAATGATCCCATGCGGCAGCGGCAGCTTTTTGAAGAACAAGCCAAGGTAAGGAAGGAGAGCGTGAGCAAAAAGTTTCATTAGTGCCAACTCACCAAGAAATAGCAGCCTTAACCCAGGTCTGTGTCAGTATATATGTTCTTGGTGACTTCAGAAATGAAGGATAAAGCCATAGGCTAGAGGAAGTCACATTTCAATATGTAGACTTTGACTAGTTTTGACATTGTACTATATAAGAGGGACTTACTTATTTTTTGCATGACACTTGTCTTGAAATACATTTGTCTGGCAACATTATTTTTCTTAGATTGTATGTTTATTGAGGTGGCTTGGGGATGAGAGGCAGATAAAGATGAATGAAGAAGACAAAGCCGCACAGGTGGCCTGCAGCTATCACTGCCACTGATGCGTGGTTTCAGGAAATGGGACAGAGATCTTGGGAATGCTCACAGAGGCTCTGAGAATTAGTCTCACTAGAGTCTCAGAACCCCAAGCAGTGGAAATGTTTTATTTCAGAGAAATTTGTATGTGTTCTGAGATAGAGTCTATCAATCTTGACCTCCAGGTGTTTGAAAGAAATAGTTCCCTCTTGGAGTTCCTAGGAAATCAATTTCGAGCAAATTCTGAGTATCAGGAGCACGTTTTAATGTGTTCACTCAGATGCTGAGATGTCCTGGAAGAAAGTCACCTTTTGGTTCCCTTTCCTCTTCTAGGCCAAGGCTGCTGGTGATGATGAGGCCATGTTCATAGATGAAAACTTCTGTACTGCCCTGGAATATGGGCTGCCCCCCACAGCTGGCTGGGGCATGGGCATCGATCGTGTCACCATGTTTCTCACAGACTCCAATAACATCAAGGTACATAGCAGCGTTCTCAGCGCACACTGCCTTGTAAAAGCCCCATTGTGTCACAGGCAGGGCATGGTGGGCCTGGAGAATTAAATAAAGGGAGGAACATGCCACTCCACAGGAATAGGGGCAGAGTGTCTGACCTTATAGGATTTGGGTTTTTATCTGACCTGAGGCAGGAGGAATACTAAATGTTTGCTTTTCTTGAGGACTCAGGGAAGTGCTAAGCCCTCTACATGTATTATCTCATTTAACTTAAGTCAGCCCTATGAGGTGTGGAAACTGTTGTTATCTCATATTTGTGGATGAGGAAATCCAATTTTAATAGAACCTGTATTTTTCAACCTTTTGATATGGTACCCTAGGCAGTGCTGTACATTTGTTCTTTTCCATCCTCTGTAACTGAGAGGGACTAAGCTGAAATGAAAGAACACATCTGTCTTTAAACCTGGGGTATACAGGTCTCTGGATTTTGGTAGTAATAATGATAGAGGCAAAAGGAATGAGTGGATAGCTGTGAAAAAATGTTCCGGGTGCTTTTTAGCTTCACAATATGTCTTTATCTCCTGTAGGAAGTACTTTTGTTTCCTGCCATGAAACCTGAAGACAAGAAGGAAAATACAGCAACCACTGATACACCAGAAAGCACAACAGTTGGTACTTCTGTCTAGAAAATAATTATAGCAAGTCATATGAACAGGCATCTTTGCATTTCTGCAAAAAGATGAAGGTTGGCAAGGGAATTCTTGTGTTGGCTATCGATTTGACTACCACCGTTCAGCTATCAGAAGAGAAAAGAGGAATTAAGAATTTCTTTTTGCTCCTTGTTACCAAATAAACCAATTGTCTTTTCTCTGTACCTTTGGAATATCAACTTTTTCCCCAGTTTGCTGGCCTAATGAATGTTTAGGATTCTGCTATCTTAATTCATTCAACATATTTATGTTATTAATGTCTTCTCTGCCAGACATAGTTCTAAGGGATTGGGGACACAGGAATGAACAAAAACCAAGTCCTTGTTTTCTTAGAACTTACATTCTTTCTTTGGGGTGAGGATGAGAAGTAGACAAACAAGAAACAAATAAACCCAAATTCTTTCTGTGATGGTACATAATAAGAAAAATGGAGCAGGGTAAGGGTGCAGGTGCTATTTTAGAGGTAGAGAAGTCAGTGCTATTTTAAATGTGAACGGAAGACCTCTGCTAGGTGGCATTTAAGTAGAGATCAGGAGATAGTAATCTGGGGAGATCTGCAGGAAAGGACAATCCAGACTAGAGGACTGAGTTTTTAAGGAGTGGCAGAGGGTCCAATAGGACAGAGAGTCATTGAGAGGCCAGATCGCACATGCCTCTGAAAGGCACGTGGAAGGAAGTACAAGTTTGAGAGGGAAGGTTGGAAGTTTGATTTTGGACATATTAAATTTGGCATACCTGTTGGACAGGCAGATGGAAATAGTAGAATGTTCAATAGTGAGTCTGAAGTTTGCTCATTATTTTCAGTTCAATTCAGCAGGGCTAAGAATGTGACAAAAGTATGTCTAAGGGCTTGCTATTAAAATGGAGCCCCTACTCCCCTACACAGGAAGACAGCTGGGAAAACCTTTTTTCAGATGAGTCACATGACAACTTGTCTTTTGTACCTCAGCAAAACCTTTGCAAGCATCCAGTTTGGGAGGTGCCAGTGTACTTTCACAGAGCAGGTTTCTGCTTCCCTAGCTGGTAAAACAATGTATATGTTCAGAAACCTAACTGCGAACTTCAGAGAATAATGAGCATTTCCACCCTTGCTGGTGTTTAAGCAGCAGATGATAAGGAGACTGAGGATAGAAAAGAACTGCAGCAACAGTAGGCAACTTGTATGTAGGGGTTGGCAGGAAATATGACAGTATGTAAGCTAGAAGGGACAGAAGGATCATAAAGTCCTCATTGCCTTATCAAATGGTTGAAGGCTCTTTTTTTTTTCCTGAGACAGTGTCTCGCTCTGTTACCTGGGCTAGAGTGCCATGGCGTCAGCCTTGTTCACAGCAACCTCAAACTCCTGAGCTCAAGCAATCCGCCTGCCTCAGTCTCAATGAGTAGCTGGGACTACAGGCATGCGCCACCATGCGTGGCCAATTTTTCCCATATATTTTTAGTTGGCCAATTAATTTCTTTCTATTTATTTATTTTTTTTTATTTTTTTATTTTTTTGTTTAGTAGAGATGGGGGTCTCACTCTTGCTCAGGCTGGTTTCAAACTCCTGACTTTGAGTTATCCGCCCACCTGGGCCTCCCAGAGTACTAGGATTACAGGTGTGAGTCACCACGCCCGGCCAAAGGCTCATATTTAACAAATTATCCCCCCAAAATTGCATAAAATGGCAGCTCTGGTAAATGCTTTGAAAGGTGGGGGTTCATGGGGTATTGAGAAATTTTTTTTTTTTGAGAATTGGACAAATTTATTGAAACTTATAGGGTGTTAGAGAAAAATTATTCTGTGGTTTGTTACATTTTGCCATTACGAATGTATAATTTAAAATCATAAATATATATTTCATAACTAAGCCTTTGGCCAATAAAATGAATCATTTAGCACATTTGTTAAAGATCAGTAAGAAATGTATTTCGAACATCAAAAAGATCAAGATCAAGTCACTGAATTAAATAGCAGCAACCCCCACAAATGTATAGATTCCCATAGCACTAAAAGTAGAGGTTTCTGTGCAGAGCTAGTCATTTATTACAGCAATCAGAAGAGATGGGGACTGGCACACCTATTGGAGGTGGCAGCAGAGCTGGCTGGAGGGCCAGCCTGGTCAGGTGAGCGGGCCCAGAGACAGCAGCAACAGAGCACTACAGCAGGCTGTTAAGGCAGGTGGATGGTCCCAGGTCGTCTCTTTGATCTTCCACCACATACACTGGTTTTAGGAGGCTCCTGAGGTCCACCCTGCCAAGCCATACTGTCGGTATCCTTAGGGTACCCCTGAGGAGGCAGGTAGGGTACCCCCACAGGTCCTGGACTCATTGGTGGTTGTAGATAAGGTGGGTATGGGGCCATTGGACCAGGGCCAGGATACGGTGGAGGGTTCTCTTGGTTCATCAGGGACCTGCCAAGTGCACCTCTCCTCTCCATGAACCGGCTGGATAGTGGTGGGGTTGGGAACTGAGGAGACCGAACTACAACGAATTACACTTGCCGCACCTGCTGAGAAATTATTAATATAATGGACTGCCTTAGGGAAGATTTCCCTGAGGATATTAGCTCTATAAAGGTGGGGAGGGCTTTCCAAGGTATGGCAACAAGGGCAAAGGCCCTGTGGTAGGAAGGGGAATGGAGCCCAGTGACACTAGATAACAGGAACCCACAGAAATACATCACAAGGTGAGGCAGGAAGGGGCTGGTGTAGTGTGAGCCCTACTGTGGGATTTTGTCTGTATTAAATACACTCTTGCTGGGAAGCCACTGAAGTATTTAAGCAATGGGGTGATATGACATTTGTAGTTGAAAAGATTAATCTGGCAGCTCTGTGGAAAATGAACTGGAGTTAGGCAAGAAAAAGTGAAAGTTCAGAGATTATGAATCCAGCAGGGAGATAACAGTGGTTTGCACTAGATTATTTTCATGGAAGTGAAGTGGGTGGATTCAAGTAACAGGAAGTAAGATCAGTTGGACTTAGTAACAGATTGTATTGTGGAGATTAAGGAAAGGGAAATAACAAGGAAGGTGACTCACTTTTTAGTTTATTTAACGAGATAGGTGGTAATACCAGCCCCTGAGATAAAGACCCATAGAAGATGATCCTCACCCCACTCCCACTAGGATTTGTGTTTCTTCAAAGACAGAAGTGGGAGTCAGTTGCAGATTAAAAATGTTGGAGAGGAATGTGGAGCAGAGTTCTTACCCATGGAGGAGGGCTGTGGTCCTTTTCCTTGGAACTAGAGGGAAGGAGGGGGTCAAGAAAATTGCACCGCTGTCTTCTCTAACTTTTGAGGAGTAACAAGAAAAAAAGTGAATTCTCTCATCTTTAGCAATTGAGGCATACGCTTGAGAAGTAAAGGTTCCTGAAATATCCAGACAGCTATCCTACCTATTTCTGGTAATCTGAAGGCTTTAGACCCGAGCGGTGCACTACCATATCCACTTTAGCTACATGTGGCTATTGAGCACTTGCGATGTGGCTGGTTCTAATAGAGATGTATTGTAAATGTTAAAATACACACCAGATTTAGTACGAAAAACAGGGTAAAAATCTCAATTTTTAAAAAAATATTGACTACACCTTGAAATGGTACTATTTTGGATATAAGGGTGATATGAAACATGACTACGATTAATTTTACCTATTTGACTTTGAAATGTAGCAACTAGAAAATTTTACATAAATGGTTCGAATTATATTGCTATTGAATAGCGCTGTTTTAGTAAGAAATTCAGACTAGGATTCCAAGATACATAACTCCATTTGAAGCCGTATGTAACCCAGCAGGCTGCTCCCACCTACCTGTTTCTCGCGTCGCTAAGCGTGTCGCCAGAGGCTGCTGGTGGTCTCCAAGCGCAGGTACCTGTGTCACGGCCGGGCTCCGCGCCCCAAGGACTACAAGGGCCAGCGTGCGTTGCGCGCCCTGGGGCGGAACCTGGGAGGAGCAGTCGCTTTGTGACGTCACGTCCGCCTCGCAACCCGCGCTCAGTTTCTTCGCCCGGAAGCGTGCGTTGCTGAGGTGGGAGTGGAGTGTTCGCATGGTGTTGGGGTGGCGCGGCCAGGGGACTCCCCAGGGTTCGGTGCCTCGGGTCTGACTTTGTGGAGTCGGCTTTGCGTGGGAAGAGGACCGTGTCTTCCCGGACGCGTGTCACGTGGGAAAGTGCCGCTCCACGCCTGGAAATGTCAACAGCCGCCGCGTGAAGAGCTCTTGCGGCGGGCAAGTACAGGGTGGGTGGCCTCGCAGCGGCAAGCCGAATGTCCCAGTGAGTCAGGCGCTCACATCTTCCCTACTTCACGGCCCCAGTCTTGCCTCGCGCCTCCCGCCCTCTAACTGGCGGAATCAGGACCCCACCCGAGGCTGAGAAGGGCACTGCTTTCGGAAGTATTTAGGAAGGGGGCCAAATAAAGTGGGCTTCCGCTCCTCCGAGCATCCCTAAAGTCTTTTCTCCTTCCCCAGCTGACTTGACTTTTCCTTGAAAAGAAATTGGGTTCTTCAGCTTGTTGCGACTTTCATAAGATGTGGTCTTGTGGGCACAGAGATGCCCGTTTAACTGTTATTTCATATGAAGAAGTTCTTCAAGAAGTTTTTCAAGATCTAGGAGGGGGTGAAGGCTTGAATTATAAGGGACCCAGTGTATCAAAACATTTGTTCATTGCAACAACTGTACATGCTCAGCTACCTGAAAGGAGATGTCGTTCTGGACTGCTTCCTCTTAGGGAATCATCGTTTCTTTTGGCAACTTTTATCCTCCTTAGCAATTATAGTTTGTGATATGCACCTCTGGTTTAATTTCAGGTTGATGGCAGGGTATCTGCCTTAATAAAATATGCCTTGTGATGCTTCTCTGCAAATGAGAGGTGAGTCTTTCGAACAAAGATTCTGGGACCTCCCATGTTTTTACTTTGTTCCGAGTGACACGAGATTTCTGCTGGTTCTCTGACTTTCAAGTCACAGTTTGTCAGTTCCTGCCATATTTTTGTTTTAAATCAGTATGGTTTGATTTACCATTACCATTTACTATATTAGCAGGCCTGCACATTGCAGTGTAAGGGGTGCTTATTGTATCAATACCTTTCAGAAGCTACATGAATTGGGGCTCAGGAAAGCCTTTTTTTTTTTTATTTTGTTCTACAGTGCTTAGCTATGTTTAGTACATCACTAATGCAGTGCTTAGTCCATCACCATATGATCTTATCTGCTAAGAAGTTTTTAATATAATTGAGTCCACATGAAGTCGGGATGTATGTAATGAGCATTGATAGAGCCAAGAATGGAAGAGTTTCCAGCAGAGTATCTTAGGCCTCTTTCAGGCCTGGTTTGCTTAATGGTTTTATTATTCATGGCTTTAGATGCTCATTATAATCCTCTGCCTCCCTTCCCGTGCTTCACACCCCCAACCTCTAAGTAGCTCAAGGCAAATTAACCAGGAAAATAATTAAATGTTATTTCTTATAATATTAATCACAGTTGGCATTAATTATGCTCGATTTTTTTTTTTTTTTTTTTTTTTTTGAGACAGAGTCTCACTTTGTTGCCCAGGCTAGAGTGAGTGCCGTGGCCTCAGCCCAGCTCACAGCAACCTCAAAGTCCTGGGCTCAAGCAATCCTGCTGCCTCAGCCTCCCGAGTAGCTGGGGCTACAGGCATGCGCTACCATGCCCGGCTAATTTTTTCCATATATATTAGTTGGCCAATTAATTTCTTTCTATTTATAGTAGAGACGGGGGTCTCGCTCTTGCTCAGGCCGGTTTCGAACTCCTGACCTCAAGCAATCTGCCCGCCTCAGCCTCCCAGAGTGCTAGGATTACAGGCGTGAGCCACTGCACCCGGCCTTATGCTCAGTATTGTAGCAATTGCTTTTTATAAGTATTTAATCCTCACAGTAACACCAATAGGTTAGATACTGTTATTGTCTCTAACAGATTAAGAAAGTTAGACACAGACAGGTTAAGTCATCTATCCAGTATCACACAGTTAATCTGTGGCAAAGCCGAAATTAGAACCCAGCAAGGGCGAATGCAAAACGCACACCCTGAAGCACAACTCCTGTGAGAACACTTGACTGGTGAGGAGTCTCAGTGGGGCTTTATTACCACTAGAGGGAGGTAGAGAACTACTCTGCTTTGGGGTAAAGGAGGGAAAAATAAAATGCCTGAAAAAGAGGACAGAAAAGAACATCTGTCCGGAAAGATAAGCCTTGTATTGTGAGGACTGCGGCACTTTACATACTGTTTCCAAATGAAAATTGCAATAGGGAGGACACTTCCCTCTCATGCTTTTGTGTTAAGTAGAAGATTCACATTCATTAGAAATGTGTCAGATATCTAACTTTTAAAAAAAACAACTTGAAGAAATAGAGTGTCTTCTGGGGTTGGTGAGATTTGGGGTTTCTTTGATCTTTTATTAAAGATGAAACAGAGGCAGGGAAGTAGTAGGAGAAAATGATCCATAAAATGTTCCAGATAGAGAAACCTCAGTCTGAACACAGTTGGGCAACATTCGAAAGCACTGGTACAAAGCTATATAGTATTGTGAACTGGTTCTCCTTGCCATACTTCTCATGGTTGTGGTTTTTGACCAGGGCCTCAACACCAGACCATGTGGACCGCAAATGAGATTGCTCAACTGTGCTATGAGCACTATGGGATCAGGCTGCCAAAGCAAGGGAAGCCTGAGCCAAACCGTGAGTGGACATTATTGGCAGCTGTGGTAAAGATACAATCTCCAGCTGTCCAGGCCTGCAACATTCCTGATAAGCCAGCACAAGGTGAGACTTCTTCTTGGAACACTCCCCCTTCCTGTCGGAGATGAAAATTGTACTCTGCTATACTTGGCAAGGACAGTCATGACCAGGATGTAAACTAAGATGTTAGGCATATTTTCTCGGTTTCCACCAGGTGGCGCAGTAGTCCTGATGGTGGGAGACCACCTGCAAGAACCTCAGTCCTTTGTGGAGTCAACCTGTGGGAATCCTCTGGAGGAGTGTGCAGACAGATTTAAACTCAGCGCTGGGGAACATTCAGCCTCTGAGAGCCCCCTTAATGATTTCATATTTTCCCCTCAGTGACAAAGGAAGTTGTCTCAATGGGAACAGGAACGAAATGCATAGGCCAGTCCAAAATGAGGAAGAGTGGTAAGTATGGGTGGGGGTCTAACTATCACTCTACTGAGAAGGACAGTAAAGGACAATATTCATTTAAAACCTGCTTTTTTTTTTTTCTTTCATTTTTTGTTTTGTTTTGTTTTGAAATGGGGTCTCATTCTGTAGCCCGGGCATAATCATAGCTCACTGCAGCCTGGAGCCCTTGAGTTCAAGAGATCCTCTGGCCTCAGCCTCCTTAGTTGCTGGGATTGCAGGAGTGAACCACAATGCCGGCTCAGAACATACTGAGTAAACTAAAAGCTAGCCAGTATTTTCATCCTCTTAACCACAGGCTCCCTGGGATTAAGTATTCCATATTAGGTCTGGAAGGCTTTGGGGCTCTAAAGCAGGTAGAGGATGCAGCTTGAGTAGCATCTGAAACCCCAGCAATCAACCTTGAATTAAATGGAGCTTTTGGCACCAAGAAGGATATGGGAATCCTTTAGAGATCTGGGATCCTAAGGAACCTGCTTCCAGTTAGCAGGTTCCTCTTTGAGTTTGCTTCCCCCATCCTCCTAGCCTTGCCTCCTGTATGTGAGGAAGCTGTTCCAGGACCACTATGGATGGAATTGTATTGCCTTGAGCACAAGTATTATATCAGGGTACAAAAGATCTGTACTCCTGTCCTCCAGATAAAGATTTTTCTATAATTCAGTGATTCTCAACTGGAGGCAATTTTGTACCCCCAAGGGACATTTGGCAATATCTGGAAACATTTTTAGTTGTCACAACTGGGAGAGAAGTGCTGTTGGCATCTTGTGGATAGAGGCCAGGAAAACTGCTAAACAGCCTACAATGTACAGAAAAGACTCCCCACAACAAAGAATTTTCTGTCCTAAAATGTCTACAGTGCTGAGTTGAGAAATCCTGCTGTAAATACATGGTCATTAATGATTGTGATACTTTCTGACAAAGCCTTCCCAGGAGCTACATGCCCATCCTGGGTCTGGGGGGACTGCTGTGTTCTGCTTCTAGAAACAATGGCATCTCCAGCTTCCATAAATCTTCATCTGCTGTCCTGTCTTTGCCACAGGAGACATCCTCAATGATAGCCATGCTGAGGTCATAGCCAGGAGGAGTTTCCAAAGGTAAAGCCACATCCCGAGAGAGACTGATTCAGCAGGTCTGGGTAGGGACCCCAGAATTTGCATTTCTAATAAGCTCCCAGGTGATACCATTATGTCAGTCTGTGAACTACACTTTGAGTAGCCCTGTGGTCTAGATAAGTGGTTCTCAAACTTGAGTGTGCATCAGAATCACCTGGAGCATTTGTTAAAACTCAGATTGCTGGGCCCACCTGCAGAGACTCTGATTCAGCAGATCCAGGTGGAGCCTGAGAAATAGGATTTCTAACAAATTCTCAAGTAATGTTACTGCAGGGGCCACACTTTGAGACTCAGAGCTCTATATCATTCTCACAATTCTAAATTACTACCAATCCCATTAGTCCACCGTAACTCTTTCTTTCTTGTTTGGTTTTTTTTTTTTTGAGACAGAGTCTCACTTTGTTGCCCAGGCTAGAGTGAGTGCCGTGGCATCAGCCTGGCTCACAGCAACCTCATCTCGGGGCTCAGCGATCCTACTGCTAGCTCAGCCTCCCTAGTAGCTGGGACTACAGGCATGCGCCACCATGCCCGGCTAATTTTTTGTATATATATTTTAGTTGGTCAATTACTTATTTCTATTTTGGTAGAGACGGGGTCTCGCTCAGGCTGGTTTCGAACTCCTGACCTTGAGCAATCCGCCCGCCTTGGCCTCCCAAAGTGCTAGGATTACAGGCGTGAGCCACCACGCCGGCCCTTTTTTTTTTTTTTTTCAGAGAGACTCTCACTTTGTTGCCCAGGCTAGAGTGAGTGCTGTGCGTCAGCTAGCTCCAGCAACCTCAATCTCTATAGTGAGTGCTGTGGTGTCAGCCTAGCTCGCAGCAACCTCAATCTCCTGGGCTCAAGCGATCCTACTGCCTCAGACTCCCAAATAGCTGGGACTACAGGCACGTGCCACCATGCCTGGCTAATTTTTTGTATATATATTTTTAGTTGGTCAATTCATTTCTTTCTATTTTTAAGAGAGACGGGGGTCTCACTCTTGCTCAGGCTGGTTTCGAACTCCTGACCTTGAGTGATCTGCCCGCCTCGGCCTCCCAGAGAGCTAGGATTACAGGTGTGAGCCACCTCGCCCGGCCAGTAACTCTTAGTAATCACTCAACCAGAATCTTTCTCTTAACCTTGGAGATTGGTTGTTCATTCTGATTACCTCTTGAAACCCTTAGGTACCTTCTCCATCAGCTCCAATTGGCAGCCACCCTGAAAGAGGATAGTATCTTTGTCCCAGGAACGCAAAGAGGACTGTGGAGACTTAGATCAGACCTCTTCTTTGTGTTTTTCTCCAGCCATACACCCTGTAAGTATATTCAAGCCTTTACTGTTACATGGACTACTTCCTTATGTTTGTCTTATCTATAGATATGTTTCTCAAAAAAAATCACTTGTGGCTGAAGTGTAGCTACAACTGTTGACAGTGCTGTTTTATGGACAGGCTGGTGTACCTAGTCACTTTTCTACTAAGGGGAAGGCAGAGGATGGAGGTGGGGGGTGCATAGTATCACTGGTGCTATTACTCAGTTCTCAGAATGAGGATTAGGAAGCTTAAGGCTGAAAACCCACAAGATGTGAAACCAACAATGGGGCTTAGAAGTCCAAAGTCCTACTATAGTAACTTACCCTAAAATTCATTTCATTCATTCATTGATTTCTTTTTTTTTTTTTTTTGGGACATAGTCTCGCCCGGGCTAGTGTGCTATGGCATCAGCCTAGCTCACAGCAACCTCAAACTCCTGGGCTCAAGTAATTCTCCTGCCTCAGCCTCCTGAGTAGCTGGGACTACAGGCATGCACCACCACACCCAGCTAATTTTTTCTATTTTTAGTAGAGACAGGGTCTCGCTCTTGCTCAGGCTGGTCTTGAACTCCTGACCTCAAGCAGTCCTCCCGCCTTTGCCTCCCAGAGTGCTAGGATTATAGGCGTGAGCCACCGAGCCTGGCTAGAACAGATATTTTCTACTACTTGTCAGGCACAATATGACATACTGATTATGCAACAGTGAATAAGACTAGCATATTGCTTATCCCTATAAAGTCAGTGTAGGCAGTCATGCTGAGGGTAAATTTTCTTGAGTTATAAGAGGATGGTCAGGTGTTGTGGTTGCCTAAAGCAGGAAGACTAGACCTAGCCTAAGGGATCATTTCTATCATCTGTTTTTCAATTTCTTGAAAATTAAAAATAATTCTTACCTTTTGTAGACAACTCAGATGGCAGCAAAATTTCCTTACCCTAAAAACTTTGAAATAAGGGTTGTTCTCTGATTATTAAACTTTAACACATGCAATTAGAGAAGAGGTAGGTAATCACTATAAAGAAACAGAATAGTTGTCAAGATTGGATTGTAACTCAAATTGAAAATATTGCTATAGCTTAAGAAAGAATGAATATAGGAAAAGAATTGGTAAGGAGTTGAAGACCATTCACAAGGCTTTTGCAGTAAAAATAAAAATAGAATAAAAAAAAAGAGTTGAAGACCAGAGAAATGACAGAAGTAGGCAGGGCTTATTCATGCTCCATTATTAGCAGTGGTGCCCTGGTCCAAGGGCCAGAAGATGTTTCCCAGTCATTACTTCTCAAACTATAATATGCACGTGAATCACCAGGGGAGCTTATTAAAGTGCAGATTCAGAAGGTCTGTAGTGGGGCCTGAGGTTCTGCATTTCTAACCAATTCCCAGGGGATGCCACAGGTGCTGGTCTGTGGACCACACTGAGTATCCAGGGCCTAGGTGATGCCATTGACAGGCACTGTCTTATTATGGAGACAGATACATCCAGGGATTACAGCCTGATGGACTAATCAGACTCCATACATCAGTGATCCACAGATGTGTGCTGATCTGTGAGAAGAGTCCATGAAGAAATTAGAAAAATCAAGACTCGGGAGTTTTTGAAAACTAATTTCTTTCAATGTAAAGATTACGAGATTTTTTTTAAATCATGGTAATTTGGATTTTTGAAGATCTTATGTGATGGAATAAAAAGTAGACAACCCTCCATTCATCCTATAATCTTCTGGAAATTTTGCTGGTAATCTTATAAAATATAATGTCTCCCATGGCTTATCTGCAGAAAGAATGCTGTCTAGAGAATGTGACTCTCTGGTTTCCTTGGCATTTACTTCTCATTATTAATTAATAACTTGGTACCTGGGTTAGCTACTTTGTACTCTTTCTTGTGAGTTATATTAACATGAGTCAGCCTCTCAAGTTCGGGCATTCTGTCAAGATCATATCTCTGAGCCTGCAGTGTGGTAGGTGGACCCTGGTGAATTCTCCAAAGTCGCTGTCACCTTGTGAGGTTTCTGGAAGTCAGCCAGCCAGCCTTACTAGCAACTTTCCTACTTCTGTATCTCTTGCCTTTCCCACTCTTAGGTTATAAAGAGTACAGATGTATTATTTACACACTTTAGAAAAGCAACACACATTAGGTTAGTGTTTGAAAAAATAGCTGTTTTCTCAAGGGAGAGCTGTGCTTTTTACTGACCTCTGGTTTTCTTTGGTTCCTTTTAAGCACAGAGTCGTAGATCAGAAATTGTTAAACTAGCACAGGGAAGCATTGGTTTAGACTAAGTACGTAATTTATAGCAGAGTCTTCACTGTAGAGCTATGCATCATAAAATATTCAAGATAGGGACATTTTAAGGAATGCCAAATTTATTTAACTATGAAACAAATCACCCACTTTCGTTTTCCAAGGCATCTTATGGAATAGCATTCCACAAAATGCACTTGGGAAGCCTTGCTCATTCTAAACCGGTGATTCTCAACTAGGACAGTTTTATTCCCCAGGAGGCATTTGGCAACATCTGAAGACATTTTGATTGTCAGAGTAGGGGGTATTATTGGCATCTAGTGGGTAGAGACCAGGGATACTGCTAAATGTACTATAATGTGGGGGACAGCCCCCACAGCAAAGAATGATCTGGTTTAGGGCCGGGCTTGGTGGCTCATGCCTGTAACCCTAGCACTCTGGGAGGCCAAGGTGGGAGTATTGCTTGGGGTCAGGAGTTCCAGACCAGCCTGAGCAAGAACAAGACCCCATTTCTATTAAAAAGAAAAAAGAAAGAAAGAAATTATCTGGTCTAAACTGTCATTAGTGCAATGGTTGAGAAACCTTGGTCTAAACCAGTATTTCCAAAGCTTCCTAGTGATAAGGATTACCTGGGACCTTTGTTAAAATATTTAGTTTTCTAGACCCTTCCCCGGAAATTCCAACTCACTGGGTCTGGGCTTGGAGTCTTCAACAAGAGCTCCAGAGGATTCTTATTAGGGAAATTTGGGCCTGTGATCTTAATTCATCTCAGGTCAGCTGGGAGAATAGATTGATCTTTGTTTAAGGCAGTAGTTCTCAAACTTGGGCTTGCATCACAGTCACCTGGAGAGCTCATTAAAACACAGACTGCTGGGCTCTACTTCCAGAGTTTCTGATTCATCAGGTCTACTGTGAGTCCCAAGAGTTTGTGTTTCTAATAAGTTCCCAGGAGATGCCACTGTGGCTGGTCCAGGAGCCTCACTTTGAGAACCACCTGTTTAAGGGGTTTATCCTCCTGCAGGTGGGGATGCCTCCATCATTCCAATGCTTGAGTTTGAAGATCAGCCTTGCTGTCCTGTCAGCAGAGATTGGGCCAAGAACCCATCGGTGGAAGCCAGAAGTAACTTGGAAGCTCCTGAAAATAAAAAGAAACGTGAAGACCTTGACAGTCCTATAACCAAAAAGATGAGGCTTGAGCTTGGAACTCCTGCCAGGGAGATTGCCAGTGGTGCAGCTGATCATCAGAGTTGTAGCAAACAGGAGAGTGGCCAAATCCCACCAGCTGTCAGCAGCTCAAACCTGGCCTCTGTCACCAGAATAGCCCTCGGTGGTGCCCAAGTAGTGGACGTTCATAGAACTGGAGCCAAGTGTGTGCCTGGAGAAGCTGGAGACTCAGGGCAGCCTGGTGCTGCATATCACCAGGTGGGGCTGCTCCGGGTAAAGCCAGGCCGGGGAGATAGGACTAGCTCCATGTCCTGCAGTGACAAGGTGGCCCGATGGAATGTCCTTGGATGCCAAGGGGCACTGCTGACACACTTCCTGGAAGAGCCCATCTACCTGACAGCTGTAGTCATTGGGAGGTGCCCATATAGCCAGGAGGCCATGCAGAGAGCACTGATTGAGAGGTGAGAGGGCAGAGAGAGAGGGTTGAATTGGAACAGTCATTCTCAAAGGCAGTCTGAGAGTATGTCCAAAGAGCCTTAAAATCTCCATACCTTTTGATCCAGCAGTTGTACTTCTAAGAATTTTTTCTAAGGATATAATTAAGAAAGTATTCAAACATTTATCTTTGTGTATAGTAATTTAAGAAAAGAAAAAGGGAACACTTGAAATGCCCAGCAATAGGAAATTATAAGTGTTTTTTAAAATAATATTGATGAATATTTAATGTGGGAACATATTCATAACATTTAAGAGCAGTTTAGAAGATAAAATGAGCTCATTTTGGTCTTACAGTACATCTACACATAGAAAAATTATAGAAGGATGTACACCAAGGTATTAATAATAATTACCTCTGAGTTGTATTATGGGTAGTTTTTTCTTCTTTGTTATTACTCTATTTTCTAATTTTTCTACAGTGTACATATATTGCTATTATAAATTTTTTAAGTCCCTAAGCATTACTTTTAAGTTTTAAAAAGATAAAAAACCAGGCCGGGCGCGGTGGCTCACGCCTGTAATCCTAGCACTCTGGGAGGCCTAGGCGGGCGGATTGCTCGAGGTCAGGAGTTCGAAACCAGCCTGAGCAAGAGCGAGACCCCGTCTCTACTATAAATAGAAAGAAATTAATTGTCCAACTAACACATATATAGAAAAAATTAGTCAGGCATGGTGGCGCATGCCTGTAGTCCCAGCTACTCAGGAGGCTGAGGCAGCAGGATTGCTTGAGCCCAGGAGTTTGAGGTTGCT